GTTCAGTGCTAACCAGTCTCAAGCTGACATAAAGCAGAATGCCAATAATGATGGCGCCTGTCATGCTCAGGTGGGCCGATGGGCCCGGGCCCTCCCCCAACAGACATGCTAACTAGACGTTTGCTTGGTCAGCTTGGAGCCAGAGCAAGAAAAGCTGATGTATCTCACTTGTCAGTTTTATCTGGTGATGAATCCATCCTGACAGAGTGGGTGTTGCTGTTCTCCCACTGGGGCGCCCGCTTTTCCTTCAACAGGAGAAAACCTGGCAAATCCTTACCTATTGGATGGCTTATGTAGAAATACCACATAGGCTATCGCTTTTGTTGATGCGATCTTCATGTGACAGGGCTTAAGGCAAGTAATCCAGCACAGCTAATACATGTGTTATTTAATCGAGACTATACCTCGTACCTGGCTCCCACCCCTATATATCGTCTGTAATTAGTCGGAAAGGATCTACTGGGAGGAAAATGCAAGAATTGGTCGATCTGTGTTAAGTAGAAACAAACATCAACGTGACCTAACTGAGGTTAATATGATTAAAAAATACAGACAACAATGGCCTTAGTGAATATTTTACAGGTGTTTTAAATTAAAAAATTGTTTTTCTGATTGTGGTTAAAATTGTAGTATTTCCAGCATCTCTGGCCTGGCTTTCTCATCTGCATATCAATAGGTGATCACAGGGTGTGGGTTTATCTGGACCTGAGAGGTTGAGGGGGGCTCTCTGCTGCTGCAGCCTGGTGGAGAGGCAGACGGGATGACTGCTGGTAAGAAATAAATGGGTTTCTTAAACTTTATTTCTCCCTATGACTGATTTCAGTTTCAGAGATATTTTGCCCTGGGATTTTCCCTGGAGATACACTGATAAAAATTAGCAATTATTTTATAAATTCAGAAAAATATAATGAGCATATATTACAAATCACACAACGTGCCACTACCCAAACTAACATCTTGGCAAAATGATTTCTAGTCTTTTCAATGTTCATATAGGTTAGAACATATGATATGTACAATTTTACATCCAGTTTTTGTCATATGTAATGTAAATGTCATTATAATACAATGTTAACACAAATTCTTATGTTACTAAAACTTCTTATTTGAATGGCTACATGGAATGCCATCTTATATCGGGTTACAAGCCAGATGGCTTCAGAGGCTGGGTAGGTAATTAAAAAGTGTGAAATAGCTGGGTATATGGCATAGCGGATGGTGGTAACTGAAAACATACATCCTACCAAAGGGCATTCAAATTTCGTTTCATTTTTAAAGGTGCTGGTGAAAGCAAGTGGAGAGGATAAGCAAGCCACAGAAGACGGGCAGTATGGTGCCGTTTGTGTCATTTTAAAATAGGCAAAACAACTCCATGTTACACGTAGAGATACACTAGGTATCCACATGCAATGAGTTGCTTTAAAAAATAGAGCAGAGAATGCAAAATACCAAATTCAGGGATTACATGAGGCCAGAAAGTGATGTGAGCAGGAGGTTATCAAAGTGAGATAAATAGGATTTTAACTGCGGGGCAGTGTTTTACTTCAGTTGGGGGGTAAGCACAGGGGTATTGGCTGCATTTTGCTTAGCGTTTTATACATACTCAATACCGTATAATGCATCTTTCTGAGAAAAAAACAAGACTGTTAGCCAAACAAAAGCCCACACTGGATCTGGCCACTGCTGCCGGCTGGTCACCAGTGGAATTAGGGTAGCATAGTCACCCAGTGTGATTTATAGGTTAAATGGGAGAGAGACGAGTCATCTAGTCCTATTTTATCCATGGCAGGATTCGGCTTCTAGCTGAACTTTTTGGCTGAATTTACCTTACCTTGTGAGGTGGCATCTTCTACTGAGGTATCTTCAGGTTTTAGGAAAATCCTTCTTACCTTCAGCCTTGACTTTATTCTTCCTCCCCAGTCTAGAACTCACAGTGTATAGGTTTGGGACCCCTTTCTCACCCACAGGGTTTTGGAATGCCCTAAGGCTTCTACTGTGTATTATGACCTCACTTTCTTTATCTGGAATACATTAGTTATATATACTATTCTTGGGAGAACTGAATTCATATTTTGTGTTGTGTGGTTCAAATGAGGAGCCCGGGTGGAAAGGCTGTGAGACTCCCATATCTACCAGCTATACTATCTTGGAAAGTTTACATTTCTTTGAGCCTTGGTTTCTCAGCAATAAAATCAAAGTGTAGTATGTCTCTCCTGGGCAGTTGTGAGGAGCTTAACGACATACATGAAGTTCCTCAACAGCACAGACATGATCTATGTCATCCACACGGGTAGGAGCAGAGTGAGTGCTCGGTAACTATCCGGGTAAACAATGAGCGAGGCCCTGGCACCCTGCCTTGCCCGTATCACTCAGTAACAGGGAGGTATTACTACCCTCTCAACCGGTTTTCCTGGGACCTGGTCTCCAGACCTCTCACAATATTCATCCCTTTCTTAAGGATGCTCCCAGTTTACACATTCTTCACTTGGGGCTCTAACAATTTGATACTCTGTCTGTGCACTAATTTGGTTTTATCTGAATGTAATTACAGACCAACGTCCACTGGGAAAAAGCTAGTCTTCCTGCTGGTGTGGAATTGCACTTAGAAAATGCACTTTCTCCCAGTACATCCTTTACACCTTGGGAATGTCTGGCTCAGAGAACACAAACATCAGCCAACGAGAGGTGGTCGGTCAGGTAAGGGGAGAACCAGGGTAACGCGGCATTATGGCGAACCCGCTGCAACCGGAGCTCGACTTGGCATAGCACCTAACACAGTGCGGGCGGTGGTTACCTGACAAGCCCCCCCACCCGGAGCAGCCCCCCGCTGGCAGGGCTGTGGCTCACCCGCAGTGTTTACCCCTGGGACGACCTCCAAATACCGTCAAATGGTCGAATGAGTCAAACACCTCAGTGCAGGGAAGATACGGTAGTGAGACGGACAGCCTCCTAGCAGAAGGTTGTAAGACTACGGTTTCCACCAATGCACTTGGGCTCAGATACGGGAAGCTGGGCTCGAAGGTGAACAATAACATGGCGTACGTTAGGTGTAAAAATTCACTTGGAGCCAGTGGCAAAGAAAGACACGTAAATGGGTTTACTAGTTTCAAAGAGCAGCCAGGTTTATTTTCCTGCTTTGTTGTTCTGAGTTCGTGGATATTCCTAAAGAAAAAGCAGAGGAGATGGAAGAGGGAGTTGAGGGCAAGATGCGTAAGTGTTGGGCCGTGGGGCGGGCAAGCCAGGGTGGTAAACGCATTTCCTGCCCACCCACGGGAGCAACGGCAAAGGAGTGTCTGGGACAGAGGCACGCAGCTCAGGAAGCCCCGGGCCCAGGCCCCAGGGAGGGTCCGCCAGGCTCGGGCACAGCGGACACCGCGCACCCCCAGCCGGAGCGCAGCGCACGAAGGGCGGGCAAGGACCTCCGGGGCGGGCGGTCCCGGTAACCGGCTTGACCTTTCACCTCCCTCGAGCTCATCGTTCCCGCCGCTTAAAACCATCCGGACTAAACGACAGGGGGCCCGCCCTTCGCGCCAGGCTGAGCAGCGGGACCCCGCGCGCCTCTCCAGAGCCCGCCGTCGCGGCGCCGAGGGCCTTCGGGGCGGCCTCGTTCACACGCTCACCGGGGGCGGAGGGGCCCCTGCAGGCGCGGCCGCCGCGCGCGCCTCGGGTACGGGGAGAAGCGGGCCGGGCGGTGCCTGCCCTTCGGGACGCGCGTCTGGCTCCACCCCCCCGGCCCTCGGTCCGCGCGCTGGGCCGCGGCTGCCGGGGAGCGGGCGCCGGAGGGGCCGCCTGGGGCCTGGCGACGAGGAAGCCGTCTCCGGACGCCAGCGTCGCGGGGCCGAGGTCGCCGTGGGCAGCGCGCCAGGCCCCCCGGTGCCCCGGGTCGCCGGCCGACAGGCACGCGCGGCTCAGGGCCATCTTCAAGCACTGCCCGCAGCGTCCGCGTCGCGCCCTCGGCTCCCGAAGACTTTGGCACCGCCGGGCCGGTCGGACCGCCGCCCTCCGAGCATGCGCAGCCCGTCCGCACGCGGCGCCGGCCGCTGACGTTCACTCGGCGACGCCGGCCGCGCGGGGCGGGAGGTTTCCGGGCGTGCGCAGTAGGGGCGGCGGCTCCGCGGCCTCTTCGGGGAGGGGCGGCGCTGCGATGGGGGCGGCGGCGGCCGAAGCGGATTGCACCCTGTTCGTGGGCAACTTGGAGGCCAAGGTGACCGAGGAGCTGCTCTTCGAGCTCTTCCACCAGGTGAGCGGCGCGGACCGGGCCCCTGCGTTCGTTTTCCGGCCTTCCCGCTCGGCGCAGACGGGCCCGGGGTCCGGCGGGCGGGCGGCCCGGGCGGGACTGGACCCGAAGGACCCCGGTGAGCTGGTGCCGGCGCGGCCCTGCGGGCGGTCGGGTCTTCGCGAAGCGCCCCGGGGATGGCGGCGGGCTCCGGGCTGCGCAGGGCTCCTCTGCTCGTCTTCCGCTCGGCGCGCTTTGCCTTCGCTTCACGGAACTGATAAACTATTTCAGTTTCCTTGTCACTGTGCGTTTTCCACTAAGTTTCTTATAAAATGGCAACACTATATATCTTGCGTTCATTCGTAAACACTCCGTAGAAAAGTAGCGTAGTAGTGTTTCCGTATTCACATCTGTACTAACACGTGTTAACTCAGAAGTATCCTGTTCCCTCCGGTTCTGCCCTCCAACACCTGGTAATGACTGATTGGTCTATGCAAAAGGGAATTTTGAGTCCAAGAAAACCACCTTGTCTTGCTCGTGCTGAACGTTCATTTCCACGCAGAGGGAAAATGATGGATGGTAGTCACTTTATTAAAAGGGCGTAAGGTGCTGTGAAATGTAAATTAGTGATCGTGTTTCCAATTTCTTTTGGGCTCCTTTCCCCCAAGTTCATCTAATTTAAGAGTTCCTGATTACGTTTCTGTTGCTTTTAAACTTTGTAAAATTTGAGTATTTTCCTGAAAATGCCTCATTTAACTTGTTTTAACACTTTTTTGCCTTATAGGCTGGGCCAGTAATAAAAGTAAAAATTCCAAAAGATAAGGATGGTAAACCAAAGCAGTTTGCATTTGTGAATTTCAAACATGAAGTATCTGTTCCTTATGCAATGAATCTACTTAATGGAATCAAGCTTTTTGGAAGACCCATCAAAATTCAGTTTAGATCAGGTAATTAATTATTCAGTGGTGTTTGGGGAGAGGAGGTGGTTTACTGTTTTGTGATTTTCATTCTATCAGTCAGCTTTAAAGAACCTCTGTTTGGATGAAAATACTTTAAGCTTTGTGAAAAGTAACCTTTATATATCCCAGAAGATGGGTAACATTGTTTTTGAAAATTGTAATTTTAAAGCTGAGATTAAAATTTCAGTTTGGGTCAGCAAAAAGAGCTTGAACTTTATTGTTAGGAGGCCTTGGGTTTGGTCCTATGCTCTGAAACAGTTATTTTCTGGAAATACTTCTTCCTAGGTGCTTTGTACTTTGCTTTTACAAATTTTGATCCTTGATCATGTGAGGATGAAATTTGGGATGTATCCAGTTTTACTGTTTAGCGCAGGATCAGAATATTATGGCCAGATTGGATATTTGTACATTGTATAGTACTCTTTGGAACCCTTTGTTTTGTATGTGTCAGGGATTCACCACTTATAATTTTCACTCCAATGAAACTATAAATTTAGTTTACTGAAATTTGAGGTTTTCTCTTTTAGCCTATGTCTGCCTTTTTAGAGTAATTTGGGGTGGGAGAGACAAAAGTTTAAATTAAGTTTTCTCTCAAGAAGAATTTCTCAAATTGTATTTTAGGAAGTAGCCATGCCTCACAGGATGTCAGTCTGTCAAGTCCCCGGCATCATGTTGGAGATTTGAGCCCTACCTCCACATCTCCCAGCAGGTAATATTTCTCACTGATTGTTAAAACCACTTGTCAGGCATTTTCCTAGGCAGTGGTCCCAAAGTGCATAAAGTGATTGGCTTCCTTTCTGTTCCTACCTCTTCGTTCTTCCATGTTATTTGCTATGTTGGGTTATGGTTACATACGTATCTAGTCTAAGGAGACTGTAGACAGACATGATACACAGTCTCCTTAGAATAGAAACACACTGAATTTCATTTATGTTCATGTGTAAAGATACAGATCCAGGCATACCTGTGTCTGTATGTGTAACTAAAAAAATTTCTCGAAACATTACTTAGCCTTACTACTGGCTGTACACTCTGTTTTCTCTTTTAAAAATTCAAGTTAGTTTTATAGCTACTAATTGGTTGCCACGTGCAGTTTAAAAATACCCATTAGGAAACAGACCACAGGACTAGGAGCAGGCAGAATTGGGTGTTAGGTCTCCCTCGGCCAATTCAGTAATGTTGAGCTAGTCCCACTTTTTGGTCCTTCGTTTGTAAAGGAAAGAAGTGTAATGATCTCTAAAAAGTACAGTATTTACACTTACTTAAATAATTACTTGCTTGGGGAGGCCAGTATCTTACTAGGGACAGTTTTACAATGGCCATTGATAAATGGCCATAGAACCATTTGTCAGTCATAATGGGCCTCATTCACATGTCAGCCTTCCCCCAGGTGCTTTGTGTTGTGACCTCACGTGTGCCTCTCAGCAGCTTCTGAGGCAACCCTATATGTGAGAAAAACACGGGTTGGAGGTTAACTTGTGTGGGTTTGAACTGTTCGTAGGAAAGTGATCCGGCCCCAGCTGCTCTGATACGCTGCTTAAAGTCTAGATGAAAACACTTACTGTATATATTTTGTGACTATTTCTTTAGCTATTATGCATTCTCTAGAGAAGGAGTAGAAAATGCTTGGAGAAGGATTTAACAAGGAGAGATTCCATGAATGAGTGAGGGACTGCAAGAGCCCAGGGTACCTGGGTCATAATGAATGAAGACAGGAGAGTGGTAGACGGTACTTGTTAAGTGTGTAGAGGCCAAGTGATACAGGGTCTTTCTTACAGGCCATAAGTAGGATTTAGGGATTTTATTCTCAGAACAGTAGGAAGACATCGAAAAATGTTTGTATTAGGATAGTAATAGGAACAGGTTTGTAAAATTTAAAGAGTTGTTTGGCTGCAATGGGAGAATGGATTGGAGGGGACCAGAGTGAGAACAGAGACCAAGTAGGAAGCTCTTGGTACCAAGTATCGGTGTTAGTGGCCAGAAAGCACTGAGGATAATCGTTTGGATTCGGGTGACACCAAAAGAAAGAGAGAAGTAGATGCATGTGGAAAGAACTAGAAGGCGAAATTGTGTAAAAACAGTAGTGTGGAGAACACCCTCTTAGCAGCCTTTCTTGCCAGCTGAAATTAATTGGGTTAAATACTTCTCAGCACAGTTGGAATTTGAAGCATCTCCACCACTTTTATAGAAGCTCCAATGGTATCTTAGGTGGAGAAAAAATTTTTTACCCGCCTTACAACTTCATTGGCAAAAAAATGTACAGGTAAATAGTTTTAGTTGAAGGCTGAAGTGAACATTTTTATATTTTTATACTCTTTTTATAATATAAAAAGTAAAATTATACTTTTTACCCCCTTAGTATACAGGTATAGAACCTGATTTAAGAAAGCCCCAATGAAAAGATCTAAATTGTAAGATAGATCAATTGGTGATTTGATTCTGAAGGGATATTTTAAAGTAAAATTAAAACATTTTCTAAGTGAGTTTTTCTGCAGAGCAAGTTACCCCTTTAGGAAGCGAGGAGAAAGGTGTGAGCCCCGCAGATTGGTAGGTTCTGTCTATGTCTCCGAGCTCTCATCCCTCACTCCCTGACTTCCCTGTCTCGGTAAATGTCCACCTAATTGCTAAGTCAGAAAATCTAGGTTTTACCCTTTAATTTATTTCCCTCATAATCTAACCAGTCAGATCGTTTTCATTTTGTTTCTCAGTCTCAGCCTTGGTACTAGCCTAGGGTTTGACAGGTTTTATTTTAGAAAGGGCCAGAAAATCAATCCTGTAGGTTTTGCAGGCTCTGCGGTTTTGGGCTCTGTCATCGTAGCATTGAGCAGGCGACACGGAAAGGAGTGTGGCTCCGTTCCCCTGAAACTGTTTACTCAGACTGGGTTTGTCACCCGCCCTGTACTCTGCTCACCACCCCTCCGCTTAGGCCTTCCCTCAGCTGGAATGTTCTGCCCCAGGTGGTCTTGTTATTCAGCTCTTGCTTCAAATGTCCCCTTTTTAGAAAGGCCGTTCCTGACCAGCCAAACTAAAGCCCTGGCCACGCCTACTAGCTCTTCACTCGTTTGTCACCTCACTAGTGACCATGTGGAGTCGTCCCAGTGTCTGATCCGGAGAGCGGACACCTTGTATGTCTCCTCAGGCCTGCCTCGAAGACCTGTCCTGCTCAGGACAGCTGGGTAGTATTTGCCGAATGAATGATTATGTGTTGGTTTTCTTATTTCTCGCAGGTATGAAAGGACTGTGGAGAACATGAGTCCATCAGCACAGACAATTCAGAGATCTCCTGAAAATTTTCAGAGACAAGCAGTGGTAGGCTGATTTTTCAACTTGAGTTGCTAAAAAAAGTTAAAATGTTCAGATAATTCGTAAGTTAACTTCTTAAATTCTAGTTGAACTAGTGTGATCCTTGCAGATGATCTTTCCTTTTAGTTTTCACTGGGCCGAGGTGCATGTTTAGCAGATTGAAGGTAGAGCTGCATTTCACGCTTGTAGTTTTCTTCAGCCATTGTTGGTATGTGGGTTCAAATCCTGGAGATCGGCTCTCTGATGTTCCTGTGGCTTTTCATCGTCTGTTCTCTTCACTACTTAAATCTCCTGGCATCGTCTCGACGAGCTCCCTTTTGAACTTGCCATCTTTCCGTAATGACACCCCCATGAAAGTGGGCTTGAAATGTTTGCTCTGTCTTACTGTTTCATCTTTGTCTCCAGTCATCAGATCCTTCACTTTTTTTCCTTTTCTTACATTCATTTCTTCCTTTTTATCGTTAGCCCAAATCACAGTCTTGGCTTGTGGTCTCTAGGCTTTTGTATTTCACAGACCTAAAAGAGTAAGAGTGAAATAAAGTAAAATTGAGAGACCGGTATGGACGAGGGCAGCTTCCGTATATGCGTCCAACACACCCTGTGTGGTACGCTTCATTTTAGTGCACTTCACAGATAGTGGTTTTTTTACAACTTGAAGGTGTGTGTCTGCCCTGCATTCAGCCATTTTCGTCAAGTCTGTTGGCACTATTTTTCCATTTTCCTTTTGTTCACTTGTCTCTGTGTCACATTTTGTAATTCTCACAATATTGACTTTCTCATCGTATTTGTTATGATATGTGATCAAGGATTATAACTCACTGAAAGCTCAGAAGATAGCATTTTTTAGCAATGAACTAGTTTTTAATTCAGGTGTGTGCATTTTTTAGACATGATGCTATTGCACATTTAATAGACAACAGTATAGTGTAAACAACTTATGTGCACCAGGAAACAAATCCATTTGACGTGCTTCATTGTGAACCCACTGAATTGCAGTGGCCTGGAGCCGAACCTGCTGCGTACCCGTGGTGTGCCTGTACCTAGGTTTCTCATTTGGCCATAGACCAAGAAAAAAAATCATCATTGGCTCCTGTCCAGCCATGGGCAGAATTTGAGAATCCTTGTCTAGTCACTTAGTACTCATCTGTTTTCTCTCACGAGTCCATCTCACACACATTTCAGAATTAGTATTATAACCTTGTTGTGCTAACCTTCCTGGCAATTTGGCTTTCCAGGATTTGCAAGATAAAATAAGAGTTCTCTAGCCTTGTTTTTAGGCAACCCTGTTACCTGGTTCCAGTAACCTTCCGAGCCTTACTGTCTGTGTTCACTGCTTGGGAGATCGGTAACCTGCCTCAGCCAGGATTTCTTGCTATTCTGCGAACCCATTCTGTGTTTCCCTGTTATTTGTTTGTGCAAATGGCACTGAGCTCGTGGTTCTTTGTAAGTTCATCGCAGAGGGATGCACATTAGAGTCCTTTTGTAAGATGTCTTACCTTCCAAGTTGTATTCCTGAGGGCAGGCGTAGTAACTGTACAGATAGCTTGTAGGTGTGCACTGGAATAAGTGAGGCTGTTGTGCTACTCAGTTGTGTTTAACTTAACACGTGCCTGGGCAAGAGTGATTTTGTTTCTCCATCATTGTTTGTTTGGCTGACCATGACCGGTTACCTGTTAGTGGTGATGTCTGGAAATACTTGCAGCTGACATTCTCTTACCTCTCCCCTCAGATGAACAGTGTTTTGAGGCAGATGCCGTATGGCGGGAAATTTGGTTCTCCGCACCTGGATCAGTCAGGATTTTCCCCGTCAGTTCAGTCACATAATCATACTTTTAACCACTCTTCGAGCTCCCAGTGGCGCCAAGATACACCATCACCACAGCGGAAAGTCCGGCAGAATCCTCACCCCTACATGGCGGACAGACACTATGCCCGCGAGCAGCGTTACCCTGACCTTGGGCCTGACCACCACTACAGAGGACGCAGAGATGATTTCTTCTATGAAGACAGGAGTCCCGATGGCTGGGGCCATGACTACGAGAACAAGAGAGACGCCAGTAGAGAGGGGAAGTGGCGTTCGTCTCGACACTGACGAGGGTTGAAAGGAAGACGTCCTTGGAGGGTCATTCTAGGCCCTTTTGGCCAAGATGATCTGGGGATGTTCTGTTAGAACTGTACAGAGCAGCTTTACGGATGGCCATATTTCTTCATAAAAATTTTAAAACCTGTTGCTCCAATCTAATACAGAATGAGAATAATTGTTCCATTTTTATTACATTAATGACCTTTCACCTCAGGGTTTTATGAAGAGGAAAGGGTTTTATACATAAGAAAGAACCACAGTTCCTACTCATTTTAGACAATTGAGGAAGGGATGTATCATATGGATTGGTTGTATTATAAAGCAAATATTTTAATGATCTGTTATCTTTTTTGTAATGCAAGAAGTTTTTTGTTAGTAAGATAATTGGTGTATATAATAGAAAACATTCCAGTTAGTCTGAAATGACTATCAGTATTTTGTTAATACATGAGAAAATGTAATTTCAGTGATTCATTTTACTAACATTTTATTGGAGAAAGCCTATTGATAAAGTTTGGGGATGAATCATATTGTTAAATGCTTTAGAGAATTTAAACACACATTCTGTGACATTCTCTTTTGAGTTTTACCCTAACTGAACATACAAGTATAAATCTGCACATGCTCTCATTCTGAAATTTTAGAACTTGCTCGTTAAATCATGTTTGAAGTTGCTCAGGAAATTAAATATCTCTAAATGAACTTTTTTACATAAAAAATACAGTATTATTATAAATCCCTTTTTTTAGGAAGAAGAACAATTTTAATGCATGGTCAGATAAAATGGTAAAATGTTTCACTGAAAGTATACTTTTTTGGAAAAAAAGGTTCATGAAACCTTTAAGTGCTGCCTCTATCACTCAAACTTTAAAAATTTGAACATTTTCAAAGCACCCAGGGTATGTATGAGCATACATTTTATTATGGAGAATGTATAGGTTGCTTTTTTTGTTTGAACATTTGATAGAATTTAGTCTTAAAACTTTTCTGATTTAAAAAATTTTTAAATCTAATTCAACAAAACTTTCATGTATTAAGATACTAATTCCCTTTCATTGTGGAACTTGTTTATAAAAATCCATTCCTTGAAAAATTTGGGTCTTTTTTAATATTAACTATAATATTTGTACTATGTTGCTTTTTAATATATTGAAAATACAAAAAAGGGGTCTGACCTGTTTTTTGACTTAGAGACATTGTACACAAAAAGTTAACAAAATACTTTTATTCCATGATTGCCTGGTGTTAAGAATGGCAGTTCTTCCCATTTGGAGCATCGAGAAATACACCTTTTGTACATAATAGACTTAATATTTTAGAATCAGATTTTCAGTGACACACGGATTATTATTCTGAGCACTGTAAACTAGCTTCTCCCGGGTCCCTAGGAGTCGATACACATTCAGGTTTTCTGTTTCTAAATGTATGGAGTTTCCTGTGTGCAGGTAAATGGAGCTGATTACTCAGCAGAGAAAGCGTCAAGGTAAAACGTGTTTGCTCAAGCAGGTTAGTAGAACAGTTTGTTTCCAGTGAGTCCATTACCTTCATGTGTCCCATATTCCATAGCATTTGTAGATACAAACACATACTAATAGTGCTGTCTTGTAGCTTACCTGTGGGTCAGAGCCTCTCATATTGATTCCTTCGTGATCCCGGTTCAGGATCATCTTTTCTTACAGCCTTTGTAGCACCCCTGTGAGGTGTGCTTCACCCCAGAGCCAGATGAAAGTAAGCAGCCCAAATCCTGTGTGCAGGGATAGAAAAGGACACCCTTAAAGAGCTGAATATAGCTGGTGAGATAGCTCACCAAGGTATTGAGAGCGACAGAAAGGGAGAGACTGCTTTTGTGGGATTATAATTTTCTTTTTCTTTGTGTTTCTCTAGACAGCTCCAGGAAGGCGGAAATCGTATATTACCCCTGAAGTCCCGGTATCCAGTGTGCCTGGCATATGTATAATGCTTGGTGAATTTTTGATGAATGAGCAAAGGAACATTTGTCAAAGAATTGAATTTAAAAAAACGGAGGCTTCAGCATAGAAAATTGTTTCAAAAATAGTTGTTCTAACCTTCAACCACTATTGCATTCTATTATAAGAGCTATGTATCACAATATATATTATGCCTTTAAAACACTATAGAATTATATTTTTCAAAAAAATTTTTTTTGAAGAATATTATGTTAACTAGGGTCCCCCCTTCACCAAATCCCCCCCACAAACCCCATTACAGTCAGTGTCCATCAGCATAGTAAGATGCTGTAGAATCACTACTTGTCTTCTCTGTTGCACAGCCCTCCCCATACCCCGCCAAACATTATACATGCTAATCGTAATGCCCCCTTTCTGGCCCCCCACCCCCCATCCCTCCCTTTCTCCCCAGTCCCTTTCCCTTTGGTAACTGTTAGTCCATTCTTAGGTTCTATGATTCTGCTGCTGTTTTGTTCCTTCAGTCTTTCTTTGTTCCTATGGTCTTTGGGTTTGAGGTGGGTCTCTTGTAAGCAGCACAGAGATGGGTCTTGCTTTTTTATCCATTCTGTTACTCTGTGTCTTTTGATTGGTGCATTCAGTCCATTTACATTTAGGGTGATTATTGAAAGATACGTACTTATTGCCATTGCAGGCTTTAGATTCGTGGTTACCAAAGGTTCAAGGTCAGCGTCTTTAGTATCTTACTGTCTAACTTAACTCACTTATTGAGCTATTTTAGACACTGTCTGGTCATTATTTTTCTCCCTTATTCCTCCTCCTCTGTTCTTTATATGTTAGTTGTTTTATTTTGTGCTCTTTTGTGCTTCCTTTAACTGCTTTTGTGGGTAGTTGATTTTATTTTTTGCCTTTAGTAGTTGGTTGGTCTGCTTTCTTTGCTGTGATTTTATTTTCTCTGGTGACCTATATTTAGTTTTAGAAGTGCTCCCATCTAAAGCAGTCCCTCTAAAATCCCCTGTAGAGGTGGTTTGTGGGAGGCAAATTCTCTCAACTTTTGCTTGTCTGGGAATTGTTTAATCCCTCCTTCATATTTAAAGGATAGTCGTGCTGGATACAGTATCCTTGGTTCAAGCCCCTTCTGTTTCATTGCATTAAATATATCCTGCCATTCTCTTCTGGCCTGTAAGGTTTCTGTTGAGAAGTCTGATGATAGCCTGATGGGTTTTCCTTTGTAGGTGATCTTTTCTCTCTAGCTGCCTTTAAAACTCTGTCCTTGTCCTTGATCTTTGCCATTTTAATTATTATGTGTCTTGGTGTTGTCCTCCTTGGATCCTTTCTGTTGGGAGTTCTGTACACTTCCGTGGTCTGATCGGTTATTTCCTCCCCCAGTTTGGGGAAGTTTTCAGCAATTATTTCTTCAAATACTCTTTCTATTCCTTTTTCTCTCTCTTCTTCTGGTACCCCTATAATACGGATATTGTTCCTTTTGGATTGGGCACACAGTTCTCTTAATATTGTTTCATTCCTGGAGATCCTTTTATCTCTCTCTGCATCAGCTTCTATGCGTTCCTGTTCTCTGGTTTCTATTCCATCAATGGCCTCTTGCATCTTTTCCATTCTGTTTATAAATCCTTCCAGAGATTGTTTCATTTCTGTGATCTCCTTCCGGACTTCATCCCTTAGCTCTTGCATATTTCTCTGCATCTCCATCAGCATGGTTATGAGCTTTATTTTTAATTCTTTTTCCGGAAGACTGGTTAGGTCTGTCTCCTTCTCAGGGTTTGCCTCTGTGATCTTGGTCTGTATCAATTTCTTCTGCCTTTTCATGGCGATAGATATATTTGTGGGGAGCTGGCGCGTGTGTTGGGTAAGAGAAAGTCCCTTCTTGCCAGTTTATGGCCTTCCTCTCCTGGGAGAACAGCGGCCTCTAGCGGCCTGTGCTGGGCAGCTGCGTGCAGACGGGGCTTCTGATCTTGCCCCGCGGCTATGGAGTTTAGCGCTGCAGTTGCTGTGGGCGTGGCCTGGCTCGGGCTGCTGCCCCAAAACGGCAGAGCCGCATAGGAGGGGGAAAAGGTGGGAGGCTGGTTATCGCAGTGAGGGGCGTCTGAGCGGGGCTGCGGGGGTTTGGACACCCAGAGCTCCCTGAGGTTCGCAGCTGCTGGGCTAAGTGTCCCAGGGCGCTTCTGTCCGGCTGTGGGGTCCCTGTCCCTTTAAGACTTTCAAAAAGCACTCGCTTTTCTTTGTCCTGGGGTGCCGGCTGCGGGACCCGCTCACAGGTCTTACTGTCCTGTTTCCCTAGTTTCCAGCACCCCACGCATGCACTGTGCGCTCTGGTCCAGATGGCTGGGGCTGGGTGCTCAGCAACCCTGGGCTCCCTCCCCCTCCCTGCTGTCTCCTCTCCTCCCACTGGGAGCTGGGGGGAGGGGCGCTCAGGTACCGCGGGGCACAGCTTGTATCTCACCCCCTTTGCAAGGCACTGGGTTCCCGTGGGTGTGGATGTGGTCTGGCTGTTGTCCTGTGTCTTCTGGTCTCTCTTTTAGGGATAGTTGTATTTGTTGTATTTTTAAAAATATATGTGGTTTTGGGAGGAGATTTCCGCTGCTCTACTCACGCCGCCAGCTTGGTTCTCCTTCAAATTTTTAAGACGTTTGGATCTGTATTAATGGGGTTTTCTTTTAAAAATTGTTTATTAGTTTGGTTTTGAGATTATTGGTTCTGCTAGTTTTGTAAAGTGAAATGGTAAGCTTATCTTTTTCTATACCCTGAAAAAAAATTGAATTCTTAGGGATTATCTGTTTCTTTAAGACTTCTTGAAGATCATTTATAAAACTGCCTGGGTCTTAGGAGTGCCTCTTTGACTTTTCAATTTCCTTTATGGTTATTGATTTATTTAGGTTTTCTTAGGAGTCAATTTGGATAATACCTTTCTAAAAAATCAACCATTTTCTCAGTCTTTCCAAAATAATTGATACAGGTTTGTACATAGTATTTTCTTATAATTTTTGTAAAACTGTATCTAGTCCAGTGTTAGTTTCTGATGTATTTTACTTTCTCTCTACACCCTGGTCAGACTTGCCTAGAGGCTGTGCTGTTAGACATTTTATATTTATGTATTTTATATTTATATATATGTATAAGAAGCCCCACATGGCATTTAAAAAAAAGATTCTTTTTAAAGGAGATCTAAATAAGAAAAAGATCTTACCTTATTTTCCAGCAGTTACGATTTCAGGAACTCTCCCTCTTTGTGTAGATCCACGTATCCATCTGGTATTCTGCTTGAAGAGGATCTGGTATTTAAGAGTGCAGGCTTACTTGGTAATGTTAGCTTTTGTAATTGAAAAACCACATTTGTTTTTGAAATAACATTTTTTCGCTGGGTATAGAATTCTAAGTTGATGATTTTTTTTCTTTTAATACTTCAAAAAAATGAGGCTGTACTGTCTGATTGCATTTTTTCCTATAAGAATTCTGTCATAAACTTAATGTGTCATTTTTCCCTGGCTAGTTTCGAGCAATCTGATCATAATGTGCCTTAATGTAGTTTTCTTCATGTTCCTTTTGCTTGGGTTCGTTGAGCTGCATGGGTCTCTGGGTTTATGGTTTTTACCAAATATGGAAATGTTTTGGCCATTATTCAAAAGAATTTTCTGTCCCCACTTTTCTTCAGAACCCCAATTATAGGTACAAGTCAGCTGGATGTCCCATGGCTCACTGGTGTGCTGTTTATTATTTTTTTCTCTGTTTCATTTTGGGTGGTTCTATTGCTGTGTCTTCATGTCTTTTCCTGCAGTGTCTCATTAGCAGTTAATTCTAATATAACCTTTGTCTTAGCTGTTGTAGTTTTTCTCTCTACAAGTTTGATATGAATCTCTTCTTTCTGATCATTTCCTTTTTTCAGCTTTATTGAGGTACAATTGACTAAAGCTATTTAAAGTGTATTACATAATAATTTGATACACAGTATACACTGTGAAAGGATTTTCCCCATTGAATTAATTACCACAGGATTTGAATCATTTTTATATCTTCACTTTCTGAAATTTTCTACATAGGGAATAAAGTCATAGTCATTTTAAATTTCTTTGCTAATCATAAAATGTTCGTCAGTTCTGAGTTGGTTTCTACAGGGTCACTGTATTGGGTATATCGTCCTGCTGCTTTATGTGCCTTGTCATTTAGATTGGATGCTAGGCGTTGTGACTTTTACCTTGGATGCTTGGTATTTTGTATTGAATGTTCTTCTAGGACACAGATACTTGCAAACAGTTGTATCCATTCAGGACATGATTTTAAGATTCGTTTGGCAGGTTTGGAGAAATATTTAGTCCAGGATTAATTCACCCCATTGCTGAGGCAAGACTCTCGAATACTCGTAGGCATCTCATGTTGTGAAGTTTTTTCAGTCTGGCCGGTGGGAACAGAGTGTTCCTGGTCCTGAGTGCTGTGTGGTATTCCCTCTGATTCTTTGGGGGCAGTTCTTTCCTGTTTTGGGTACTTTCTTCAAACCTGTGTGCTGGTTGGTACTCTCATGACTCCCGGAGGAAACCAGACCTCCAGGTTGGCTCCCTGTGCATCTGCCTCAGCACGTGTGCTGGCATTCTAGCCGCCTTGATTTCCCTGGACCCTCAGGTTTATTTCTGCAGCTCAGTTTGCAGGGCTTTGCCTTTTCTTCCCACCCCCCACCCCCCAGGGCTGCAGCCTGAAAACCCCCTAAAGGTAGCAAGCCGAGGCAACCGTGGGGCTCGCCTTGTTTGCTGTCCATGTCTCTAGCATCGCTGTCCTTGGTACCTGATGTCCAGTGTCAGGCTGCATTGGTTTGCATATGGGTTTTTTCAGGCAGGAGGGAAATTGAATCCTTGTTACTCCATCTTGACTGGAAGTGAAAGATAATCATGGGTGTGGGTATATAATGCGCTCACAGTTTTTCATTTTAAATGGTCTACTTTTAGGTTTGATTTTTCTCACCTCTTTACATGCTTTTTATGTCTAAATGACTTTTGTCCAGTCTTCTATTATAACTTCTCGTTTTATATCCTTGTAGACACAGCATGTGGCCTATGTGATAAAAGTCTGTAGAGAGACAAACCAGATCGCTAGCCGGGTGATCCCAGGACTTCCCTTGTTTGCCCGGCGGTGAACCAGCAGGACGGCGCCCGTGGCCCAAGCGCGCCGCTCGAGTTCCCAAGGAACCCGGGGCCCACGGCCGTCGTCCTCGGCTGACCCTCTGCCTGCAAGCTCCGTCCACATGGGCGATGCCTGCAGGTTTCTCTTCCCAACTTGGTCACATGGTGTTTAAAACACACTTACTTTTCTCTTTCAAAATTCTGTCTTTACAAAATGCTGCCTTATCTGGCAAGATTTGTAAATTAAGAAAGTCAGGAGAAGTCATTTAAAAAATGAAAATTAAGATGTATGTATTTTAATTTAATGCATATAAATACACATTCATTTTTCCATCTCCTGATGCAGGGTCAAGGCCTTTTCCTTAAGTCTAGGGGTGCAAAACACTGGGCTTTTCTTGCATGAATCAGTACTGGACTTCACAGCCCATGATTTCTAGTTGGGGTTTATTTACAGTGGAATGTGAATGTGGAGAACATGTGGAGTATTCAAGTTTCCTAGGGCACACGTCCAACATTTGTTTACAGTTGTCCTCACACATTATCTGACAGCACATTTTTGTAAGGATTTATTTTTACTGAAACTTTACAAAGTATTCAACTTGTTCAGAAACAGCTACTGTTTTTCTCATTCGTGGGCATTTTTCACATTCATATTTCATTGGTTTATATGTATTTAAATTAATAACATACTAATAGGAACTCGTGTAAGCAGGTTTGGAACAACTTAAGTAAGCAAGAGTGAGTGAACGTTCAGGAGCTGCTGACTCGTCTCTGGCCTGCAGTGTGTCAGAGACATTGGCGTTTATTACAGGAGGGACAGAGAACACAAGTTAATCCAATAAAAGGAGTTAAACGTGCTTCTAATATGGTAGGTAAGGCCTGTGATGTTTCAAATCCTATATATTTTTCTCTTCTGAATCTCTTCATTCTGAGAGGGGTTATTCTAGTTTTTGCCATTTTCTCTGAGTGATATATCCTAGTCTGTATACGCCCTGAAGCTATGTTCCTGCCAGAGTAAGTAGGAAGTTTCTCCACCACCTACTATGACTCTTGCCAATGTAAATATCTTTGACCTGTTTTCATGCTACTAACCTCAACTTCTATTTGTTTTATATTACTAATTCACATCTTTAATTTTGTTAATATTTGCCTGCTATGTCTTTGTTGGTTAATTTTTAATACTTTTATGTCACTTGATTTTAGGAATGCCTCATATTAGGATGTTTTTTTGATTTATTCCTCTTACATTTCCTCGTGTAAGTATGTTTATAAGCCGGACCACCTTTTCTTTGTTATTTTTCATCCTTCTAGTGCTCTAGTGCTGCATGTTTGGAGGCATACTAGAATCTCCTAGAAGCCTTTCAAAAAACAATTTAGTGCCTAAACTCTACTGCAGTCCAGGGGAGGAGAGTGGGATCAGTATGTCTTCAAAGATTCTAGCGTGAAGTCAGCATTTAGAACCCTAGTGTCCCACTACGTCTATTCCTCTGGTGCTTTGCTTCAAATTCTCAGCAATCACATTTAAATTTATAATTTTCTGTTGGTGGATAGGCAGAAACAACTGTCGTAGTCAAGGTGAAATCAGAGAGGCGGAACTAGGAGTGAGGCAGAGGAAGGGTCACCGGGCAGCTGTGGCTGTTGGTGGCCCGACCTGTTGCCCTGCATCTGGTGTTGGGCCTGAAGTCATGTGAAGTTCACCAGCCCAGCAGGCGGGAGGGAGCACTGGATAGGACCAGGGGAAAGAAAACGCAGCCTGCGTCTCCCGTGGCTCCACCGTGGAGGACGTGGTGGCCTGAAGCTGTAGGTGGAGCTGACGCTCTTGGCTGTAGAACTGCACGTGTCTTTGGCCTGTGACTCAGACAAGTTGAAAGAAAGGTGGTAGGAGCAGGAGCTCAGACTGGGTGCTGCCCCACACCAGCGTGGCGAGCCAGGACACAGGTGGCGCGCGCCCGAGCCCCGCAGTGCAGGGCACCCTCCCCGCCTGCTAGAGCATGAAAACATGGTAGCTGCTTCCCTTAGGAGTCGCAGATCCCAGGCACATTTCTTCTGTGGTCAGCTGCCCTGTGACTCTGGCCCTAGCTACCTGGAGTGGGGCCGGACTTCACAGGTTAAGGGCTTAGTCCTCTAGAGACTGGCTCACTTTCAGACACCAGCCTCAGCTCAGGTCCCCAGGCCACCTATGCTTGTGGCAAATTCCGGGGCTCCCACTACCTCCCCAGGCTTGATAATTCACTAGAATGACTCACAGAACTCAGGAAAAGCTATACTTAAGAGTTACGGTTTTAACTGTATGCTACCTTCTCTATAGCAAAAAGGATACAGATCAAAACCAGACAAAAGAGGAGATGAGGTCAAGGGCAAGCTTTCCACAGGGTCTGGCGTGGAATCAGGATGCATGACCCTGCTGGTACATCAGCGTGCCTTACCAGCCGGGAAGCTTACCTGAGCTTCGGGTCAGGAGTTGTCAGTGGGGTTTCATTACGTAGGCATGACTGATGGAATGTGATTGGTTCAGTCTCCAGTCCCCTCCCCTCCCAGGAGCTTGGACTGATATCACGCGGCTCAGAGACCCAACTCTTAACTGTATGGTTGAGCTTTCCAGCAAGGCTGCTCCCATCCAGTGGCCCACCTAGATAGTTTAACAAAGAGAATAACAAAACATTCCTGTCCCTTAGGAAATTCCAAGAATTTAGAGGTTGCCTCCCAGAACCAGCAACAGAGGCCACTCAAATTATTTACTATAGAGCATTCACTCTAAATGGGAGCTGGGCGGGACGGGAATTCTTGGGTTGACAGGAAGCAAAACCACCTCAAAAGCACAGTATCTGACTCCCCTAATACCCTGTGCATAGCTTCATTTTCCTTGCTGTGAGGAAAGCACGGAGACCACCGCCAGAGCTTTTTCACAATCCCTAGGATTTGGGTTTGACACTGCCATCATTTAAAAATGCTACCTTCTCTTTCTAAGGAGTTATTTCTTAACTCCTTATATATTATCTATTATACTATAACTTTTTTAGAACTATAAATTATTTATAGCACCATAATCTGTAATCTATTAAACAACTTTTAAGAATTAGTCACTTCTAAGTAGAAAGGAAGATTACTTGACAAATTGAAAATGTCATACTTCGTTTGGGTCCTGGGATACTGAAGTGTGGATGAGAACAACTGTTTTCTAATAGCAGTTACTGAGCGTTCACTATATGCTAAGGATTGTGCTAAGCCACTTATAACTGTTTTACGGAAGGGAAGTTGAGACTTGGAGAAATCAGGTAACTTCCCCAAGATACACAGTGGGGGAGACCACATTCATATCCAGTCAGTGCGATTCCAGAGCTCAAACTCGGAACTATTACGCTGATTTTAATGATGTGTGACTGCGCCACAGGTAGATCAAGTTGCTTTTATGGCCTAATGTTTGAAATTCTTATATTTTGTGCTTAAAAATAGGAAATTATCTATTTTTATAATTTTAGCACTGTAAATAATAGGAAAGATGCCAGGGGTATGGATAGTTTTCTCAAAAAGTAAAAAAACAAGTTGGATAGAATCTTTTTTATGTTTAACTTAGTATTTTTAATATTGGCTTTTCAGATCTATTGATAGACTGTTTAAAATGTTTACTAATGTTATTTAAAAAATTTTTTGTTTCTTAGAAAGATAATAGATTCTCACGGTTCTAAACTAAAACTGTATCAAGAGATACCTGTTGAGAAGTCTTGCAGCCACTCCTGTCCGTCTGCCTCCTTCCCTACCAGTTCCCGGTAAGCAACCACTTGCTAGTGTGTCAGGTGTCCTTCAGTCATTTCCTTGTGCAAGTGTATTTTCATTTTCCCTCTTTTCTTTCATATGTTGCTTTTTGCACTTAACAATATTAACTTGGAGATCTTGAATTGTGATTATTTGAATGCAATTTTTGTGGCTCTGGTAAAGATCATCCTTTGGCAATTTGCATAAGTATTATCACTTTTGTGTGCCTTATTATTTTGCTTTATTTCGACATCAGTGTACATTAAGCTTTCTTTTTAAAAAACAAATAAGTATGATGTTCTTCAAATGCATTCATATTTCTTTAAGAAGAGATATTTCTTCTTAAGAGGGTGGCCTAATTCCTGTTGGTGAAGGCAAAATGCATTTAACCCATGTGTTTTAATTATCAGCTGCAGTTCAGTAAACCACCCCAAACCCAGTGGCTGCAGAAGAGTCATTTGGCCGGGACTCCACAGGGATGGCTCTTCTCTGCTTCACGTGGCATCACTGGGGTGACTCAAATGGGGGCTGGAAGATCCACTCCCCAGGCGGGTCACTCATATGACTGTCCAGCTGGTCTTGGCTGTTGGCGAGGAGCCCAGCCAGAGCTGTGAGCTGGGTGGTGGTTCCTCCCCGTGGGACTTGCTTGGGTTTTTCTTCAGCATGGTGACTGGGACCCAAGAGAGGAAGGAGGAGGTGCCTGGTATCTTATGACCTAGCTTAAGAAGTCAGAGCCCGGTGATGAGAGAGGAGAGTCAGGTCACCTGGTAAGAGAAGAATGTGGGACGGAGCTCCTGCTGTGACCATCTTTTAACAATTGTATCTGCTACACCATCTTCCAGAACCCAGACTCTACAAACAATAGTACTAAAAACAGCTACTGTTGTTTGCTTCTAGCAACTTTATTTTTAATTTTTCCCATTTAAATGCTTAATCCACTTAGATTTTATCTTTTAAAATAAAGTCAGAAGCCAATTAAAATTTTTCTCAGGATAGCTATCCAGTGGCTAACAAAATTTATTATCATTCCATCTTTTCATTACTTACTGAAATGGTGCCATTACCACATCCTAAATCCCCCCCATTGTAGTAAGTCTCCTTGGGGACTTGATCCTCTGCACAGAGATGACCATCTATTCACGCCCTAGAACCTAATTATCGCAGGGCTACTCGTCCCGCACCTATCCCATCGCTCTTCTTTTTCAGACTTGTGCAGGCTGATTCTTGCGTGCTTATTTTTCTACGTGAACTTTATCATCAGCTTTTCTAGTTTTAAACCAGTCTGTTGTTATTCCTGTAAAAATGGTGATTATTGATTTTTAAATTACTTTTATGAATAATGAGATTGGGTATTTTTGTTTCTTTACATCAGTCAAATATATTTCTTCATGAACTGTTTTTCACATCCTTTGCCTCTTTTCCTATTAGGGTTTTGATTCTTATTGATGTGTGAAAGCTCTTTGTATTTGAGAATACCAGAGCTTGCTTTGAAATGTTTCTCTTAAATGTTTCCCCAATTACAGTAGCTTCCCCTTATCCACGTTTCACTGGCCACAGTTTCAGTTACCCGCCTTCAGTCACAGTCCAGAAGCAGATGGTCCTCCTTCAGACATATAGTCAGAGGTCAGTGGGAGCCTGACACTTCATCACAGGGCCCCCGCCATTCACGTCACTTCATCTCGTCACCTGGGTGTTTTATCATCTCACGTCGTCATAGGAAGAAGGAGAAAAGAAAGATGAATATAGTCCAATAAAATACTTTGAGAGGGAGGGAGAAAAAGAGGCCACATTCCCATAACTTTTATCATGTTATATTGTTGTTCTATTTTATTATTAGTTATTGTTGTTAATCTCTCACTATGACTAACTTACAGATCAAACTTTATCACAGGTATGTTTATTTAGGAAAAAACAGTATATTTGTAGAGTTCAGTACTATCTGTGGTTTCAGGCATCCCATGGGGGTCTTAGAACATATTCCCAGCAGATTAGGGGAGATTACTATAGTTAATTTTGCTTCTGATGCTTTTTGAGGTCTTGAAATAAATGGTACTCTTGTGTGTGTGCTCATGTATGGGCAGGGGAGTGGAAGCTGATTATCTTTCATGTGGTTTCTCCTGCTATTTTGAGGTTTATACATTCTTTCCCTGCTGCAAAATAAAGTCATATTTTTTTATGACTTTGTTTTTATATTTAACTGTTTAATCCATTTAGCATTTATTAGTAAATTGTATGAAGTTCTGATTGAACCAGATTTTTTTCCTTGTCAGTCTCTCCAACAGTTAAACAAAGGCCTTTATTTAACTGTTTATTTTTCTGGAATTCAAAATATGACCAAGAAAACATCATTTTTCAAGTTTGAAGAAAAACCCACGTATGACTTTGACGGTGACTGTGCAGAGCCTGTAAACTAACACAGGAAGGACTGACAGCCTGGCCCGGTGGGGAGATGACCTACTGCCGTCAGATTTCAGGTCCTCTAGTTTCTGTTTAAGAAGATGGGCCTTCCCCCAGATATGACCGTCTGTCTGAGTTTTAAATCACAATTTATAATTCCTATTCATAAGGAAATATTCTACTAAAATTTTTATTGTGGTAAAACATATAATATCAAAGTTGACATTTTAACCATTTTACAGTGTACAGTTCAGTGGCATTTAGTACATTCACAGTGAGTAGCCATCTCCCTGTGTATCCCAAAACATTCTCACTGCCCCAATAACTCCCTGCCCATCAAGTCACAGCATCCCTACTGCCCTCCCCACCCCCAACTCACAGCCCTGGGGGCCTCTAGTCTATTTTCTGTCTCCATGAGCTTACCTTGTCTAGATATTTCAAATCAGTGAAACCACACAATATTTGTCCTTTTATGTCTGGCCTATTTCACTTAGCACAATGCTTCTAGTGTCATCTATAGTGTAGCATGTGTCAGACCTCCATTTCTTTTTATAACTGAATGCTTTTCCCTTATACGTACCACATTCTGTTTACTCGTTCATCTGCTGATGTATATGTAGCTTGTTCCCACGTTTGGCTACCGTGATAGAAATGACTCTACTTTTGTTTATCCAAAAGCTCCCATATTTTTTTCTAAAGATAGAAATAAGTGATTAGTTTTTGCACAGCCCTTAAAATTAACTGAACTAAAAAAGAAAACCAAACTGTCAACTTAAACAGGTTAGTGGGAGAAGCCCAGTTCCAAGAAGTTTTTTGTACCTACGTACAGTTCTGTTTCCTGTTTCCCTGAACTAACTTTTCTGGACACACAACACAAAAGAAAGAATGGGAAGGAAAGCAGTTTTTGAATTTCAAAGCTTGTACGGTTTGCTATGCCCTTGGGAAGTTTTAAGAAGAGCTTAAAAAGAAGACAAAATACTTTCATCAGTTAAAACAAACCATTCAAATATCTGCCAAAACATATTTTCTGAGGGTGAAGAAAATAATAAATATAAGAAATGTTTATAAGTAGTTAATATAGTTAACAAATAGATGTCATTTATTGAGGGTTTATGTGATGGGTACATGAGCTACTTAAAAGCAACTCTAAAATGTAGGAAGTAGTTGTTACTTTTATTTTATAAGTGAAGAAAAAGAGATTTGGATGGCTTTCATTTTTCATTTCATTTCGACAGCCCAACCTCATTCAGGTAATGTCAGAATTTGAGTGTAGGTCTTTCTGCCTCGTAAACCCATACTCTTATTAAAAACACCCTAGTACCACACAGTACTATCTTTTCTTTTTCCCCAGGTAAAGTGTTTTGCTTTGGAAACAATTATTTAGATGTGGCAAAAAAACTGAAACTAATTCATTAATTTTTCACACCTGTGATTTTTTAGTCCCTATCTTTCCCCCTCAAAATGGAATTCAAAGACTACTTTGAGGACAGTGCAAAATCAGATGATAGGAAATGGAACATGTTCCTATTTAGAATATTTACGATTAGCAATCAGAGTATTTGCTAAAGTAAAGTACATATTTCTTATGCTTTTGAAAGAAACAAAGCAGATACAATAAATCCCATGAATGAAATAGTATAAGGAGTTTGTAGGGTTTGTGTTTAAAGCTTACATTAGCAGCATCCCTTTGATAACTTCTGCAAAATAAAATATGTGCCATTAGATGAAACAGAAATAGGTCATTAAAAATTTTAGTTGTGCAAAATGACTGGAACTCAAAGATAATTTATGACAGTTTCTGAAGATAATCTGATTTCATGAACATGCTTCTATTATATTAGTTTACTTTTAGTTTATTGGTTGTTAATGACAATTAAAAAAATATGGAAAACCCATTTGATTTAAGCTAATGATGCAATTTTCTCGACATTATGTTTCCACATAAAGTTTGTTGTTGAGGCATGATTTCCCTCCTTTAAAAATTACATACTGAGCGTGGTTATGCTTATTTAAAATTTAATGCAAGTGTTTGAAGGTGGTCCTTAATTTACCATGTAGAAATAAAATTACTGTTGTCAGCACTTAGGTTTGAGAAAAATTTGTCAGGACAATTTAATTATTTTAAAAAACATCATTCAAAGGAGAAGATTTCCTTTGTTGGAATTCTGAGGTTTGCCCCAGCAGCTGTGCTTCTGTGTCTTTTTCTGCCGGAGCCTTTTGCGTGTGCCTGTTCCTCAGTGTCAGTCCTCTGGCCACAGCTTTCCCTGTAGTTCTGGGGCTTCTTCCTGTCAGTGGCAACATAGTCTAAGCTATACAAACGTGTTTGACCCTTTACTACTTCTCTTCCAAGATATTAAGAAAGAACCTTTATTACCTGCTTTGTCAGCTCGTAATTCTCTTTCTTGTTTCTCATGCTGCAGCAGAACTTTGTGCTCTAGTAAGCAAGTAAAATGACATCGTTCAGGCCTCATCCCATGTTGGGTACCAGGGACCTCACACCTTTATCCAAACCTTGTCTTTTTTTCTGTAATGCCGCTTTTTCTTGGACCTCTTCCTACCATTTTGACCAACAGTTATCTGTCTCTTTCTGAATTCCTTCACTCACCATTTAAATACAGGCATATCCAAAGTGAGGGGTTAGGAATTGTCTTAGGATATTAAAAACAGAGGCTCAAAAACAGTGGCTTAGCAAAGTAGGAGTTTTTCTTTCACCTAAGCCAGTGTCTAGCAAGTATGGAAGCCCCCCAGGTCCTCACGCATGGGAAGACCACGGTCGCTCCCTGTGTTTCTGCTTCGCCATCTCACCACTGGTTCCATGCTCAAGACTGCATCACGCTCCGACGTAGACGATGGGGCTTCAGCCAGAATTCCAGGTGTCAGGAAGGGTAAAAAACACCTTCCAGTTACGCATCAGTTCCTTCCAAGGAACTTTTTGGAAACCTGATAATATCATTGGTCAGAACTTAGTTACCAGACCACACCCAGCCACAGGGATGGCAGAGTGCCTTCCCAACACCCAGGAGTCTGGAGGAAGACAGAAGTGTATTTGCTGGGTGCCAATCAGTGTCTGCCATGCTCTGTTTTCTGAAATGCTGGCTACATGATCAGCAACCATCAGTATTTATGATCTGTTAAATTTAGGGTCTGTTAAATAGTAATAATGATGATTTATTTATACTATTTATTAAGCACCTACCACATGCCAGGTATTGTGTGGTCTTTATACCTATTATCTCAGACCTTTACAGTCACTCTTCAAATGTAGTAGTGGTACCACTGTTCTAAAGATGAGGAAAGCGAGTCTTAGAGTCAACTTGTTGAAGGAAATATATATAGAAATTAGCTGAGGTAGGTTTGAATTCACCTAGCTGGGCTCCAAAGCCTATTCTCTTTTTCATTGTACATGGCCCACACTGAATATTCATGCCCACACTCTTGTCTGATAATTGTTTAGACCACTCTACCTTGATATCATAATTTCCAGGGACATTTACATTGGACTATTCAAAATTATAGAATTGTCTAAATTTGTACAGTGACAATTAACTAATTGATTCAAGCTTAATATCTAGACATCTAGTGATCACCTGGTAAGTTGGTAACACAGGGAGGTTAAAACTCAGTAGCATGTCGGTGTGAATGAGGTCGAACTGGCAGAAAAAACTCAAGCTAAATGCTCGGTGCCCTCTATCTGGGTAACATGGGGCCTCAGCTTTCTGCAAAGCTTCCTGCCTAAGTATTTCTAGGTATTCTTTCCTGAACAAGCCCGCCCTCAGGACGCAGCCAGGAATACTAGGTCAGTGGCACTTCTCACATGGAAGACAATACCAGGAGAGAGAAGAAACGCTTCTGTTCGCTCCCAGTCTTGTCTTACTTTGTTGTTCCCTTGGGGAGCTCAGTATTGGGCGGCACGGTTGCCATAGGTGCTTTTTAATGAGGAAGCTCTTTGGGATGGCCTGCAACCGCCTGCTCCCCACATCACTGGGAAGTGAATGTAGCAGGCACTAAGCCAGGGGACAGACACACCCGGGGGGCGGATGCTGTGCTCTCAGAATTACCCTTTTCTCCCTTGGCTTAGTTTTGTGTGACGCTGTGCTTTGTTTCTGGTTGCTTATTCCTTCAGCTGATTGTTCTCCTAGGAGGGTTCTTACTCAGAGAGACACAAATGAAGCTGAGAGCCTTTCTTATGTACCCAATAGGTTTAACAATTTTCAAAAAATCAAATTCAAAGGTTGGTGTGGACCTATAGCTGTATTTTTTTGGACCACTTTTCGTCTCCTTCACTCCCATAGCTCCAGCTATCCTCTCTATGGAGATGACTTCCAAGTTCATGACTCTATCCCTGCTGCCTGCTGGGCGTCTTCACGTAGCTGTCCCTCTTGATGCGTAACTTAAACCTTTCCCGAACGGACTCAGCTCTTACCTGCTCTTCCAGCACTTGGTTCTCTCCACTATTTTACAGGTAGTCATTTTAGTTGCTCAGGTCCAAGATACTCTATCTGGGATATTCTTACTCATAATATCTGTTGTCAAACTTTGCTTCTTTCAGTATAGAATCCAATTTCCACTCTCCCATATCTCGTAAGACAAAAATCCCTTTCCCCTATATTCCCATTGCACTCTCTAGTTCTTGAAAACATTGGCATTATCTGCTTTGTATTAAATTTTGTATCTCCTGATTTGCTTAGAGAAATAAATGAGCACCTGCTATGTAATATATTAGATGTTATATATGTTTTTAATCACCCTACAACCCATTTTACAGATGTTAAAATTAAAGCTGTTTCCTTATTTGTGAAAGAGACAACTCTAATCCCAAAACGAACCGTCTTATTCTTAGATAGTAAGTCTATTTTAATATCTCAAATACCTATAGTGTCTGGTATAATATATATCAGCTTAATAAATGTATTTTTACTTTGGCCTTCTAGCACAGTGTTTGAAAGGCACTAAGTATTCAGTCAGTATTTGCTGATTTGAATTGAGATAAAACAATTCAAATTTTGTGAAAACCTTTAAACTGTCTATTTTATACAAGGTGCATTTTGAAGATTCTAAGTTTGGCTTCTATTTTTACCTTTCTTTTTTTTTTTTTTTTTTACAGTGGCAGAGGGTAAAGTCAAAAGATTTATCATCCTTGTTTCCTCCTCAGACCACTAGAAGGAACTAAACAGCCGTTATCAGTTATCAGCAGTAAATCCGAAATCAACATTATTCACGAGAGTTCCACAAAGTAGAAGAAGAGATATCAGCAACAGAGAAATATTCATGAGTCCTCACTGCCAATTAAAAAACTCTATAGACACTCAGTAGGACTGTTCACAGGTGTGATGTTGTGTCTGAAAACCCTTTCACTCAATCTCTGCCCCTGGGTTGGGAACTGAGGCAGCTTCTATGTCCAAGTGACCCACATGGTTCGGATTCTTTAAGAGGAGATGTGCTATTCTTATTGAAATGACTTCAAACAGTAAAGCTTCTCAAGTGTATGATTTGAAAGAACATTTCTTGGCATATCCCCTTGATATTAAATGAACAAAAGCAGTTTTTATAGTTTCACAGAAGAATTGAAAAAACACAGTGAGCTGAATGTTATGGCTTTCAGATAAATTCTGTTAAAAAAGGAAAAGGGAAAGAAATGATTGAGTCTGCTGTGGAATGAGACTGCTTTCAGACTCCGGGACCCCATATTTTTGTATTTGCAGTCCCCCTTATTTACAAGGTTTGGATATGAGAATTTGGTGCACACATTACTCTGCTTGGGGGCATTAATCTTTAAGATTACTAACTTAAGATACTACACACAAACCAATAAACTATAAATATCCTTACATTATAATACCATTCACCTAAAATGTTACCTTTATTGCTACAATGAAAGTACACTATGGAAACTGAAGTTTCAAAAATGTGTACAAGTACCCAATATTTCAAAATTATAATAAATTTTCAGGATATTAGTGCTTCAGTGTAAATAGCTTCTTGTAAGTTGTAACTTCTGATAAAACTGTACAGTGTTCCAGTAGTAACTTCGAAAAAAAGAGGTGTTCTTTGAAAATTTAAGAAATAAAGATGATAAAAAGCCCAAATGATAGTTTTTCCACTTCAATCGATTCTACTTTCTATGAATCAAGTTAAAAACTAAGAAAAAACGGAATGTAGATTACTATAAAGTAGGCTACAAATTAAAAAAAGCTATAGCCGAACAACGTGACTCACAGCAGTGCAGTTACAATGTGTGCACCCTGTGACTTCCGTGTATGTATGTAATCTGTGCACGCGATTGGATGGCCTTGGAAAGAGTTTCTATGCGCCCGGCAGGGGGTGGGTTGGATATACCAAAGGAGCCGGACGTGAGTCCATTCCCATACCCTGTCCTTGCAGCTCTGAGCAGCCACAGTGCGTTGCTCACAAAACCGGCTCAACAGGTACGAATGGACCACAAGCTCTGTAATTAGTGGCAATACGGCTTTCAGAAAAACATACAGATACATAATTCTAGGCTGAGACCAGTGTTTGTGACCAAGTCGCACTCCGCGCACAGATTTGCTACTAAAAAGCCAAGATTTAAGAGACTCGTGCAGTCTGACATTCCAGGATCGGAAGGTCCTGTGGGTGGTCGTCTCTCCTGGTGGGAACGGTGGTAAATGTAGTTGTTCTTGCCGGTGTGTTCACGAAGTTTGACCAAAATCGAAGCAGATTCCAGAGCAGCAGAGCTGTTTAAGTTAATTTTAAGTTAATTTCCTGCAGAGATTCGTCATGCAAGGACAAGATTTGAGCTTTGAGAACTTGAAAGGGTGGAGTGGGAGGTCGTCATTATCACTGACACCCAACAGGCGGTCCGAAACAGGCCCGGTGCGTCCGCAGGGCCCCGCGACAGTCCTTCGCCTCGCAGGCTCACGCACGGGAGACAAGCACCCGGCGCGCGGGGTGGAGGAGTGGGCCGCGGTGCGGAGGGAAGCTAGCAGGGAGGGTGGATTCGAAGAACATGACGGACAGAGAGCCGGGCCCTGTTGGATCCAAGGAGGAGAGTTCTTTCCCAGCCAGGCGGCGTGCAACCGCCTACATTCGGGAAACTGCGCCGGGAGTCGTAGCGCCTCGGCTCCGACAGACATGCGCGCCCGGTGTCTCCGCAGCCGCGTGGCAGGCGGGGCGGGGCGGTGCCGCAGCCGGACTCCAAGTCCCAGCGGCCCCCTCGGCGGCCTGGCGCTGTTGCCCGGGGCCGCCCGGCGCGCTGCATGCTGGGCCTGTAGTTCCGGTCCCCGCACCGCCCACGGCTCTGTGACGTTTGGCGGCCCCCGCGCCTGCGCCTGCGCAGCGGGCGGGCTGGGCCTCGGCGGCCCGTGCGAGATGCGCGGCGGCTGCCTGGGCGCCAGGCTGTTGCGCGGCGTGGGCGGCGGGCGCGCGCGGCTCGGGGCGCGGGGTGTCCGCGCGGGTGGCACAGCCATGGCGGCCGCGGATAGCATGACCCAGCGGATGGTCTGGGTGGACCTGGAGGTGAGTGAGGGCTCGCGCGTGGGACCGGGCGGCGGCGGGTGGGGGGCCGAGGCGCTGTCGGACTCCGGGCTCCGCGTGCAGCCTTCGGGACTCCGGTGGGCGGCGCCCCGCGGGGCTCCGAGATGACCCAGCCGCGCCCCCCTTGCTTCGGCGGGGAGACGGGCCCTGGGGGGTCCCCGCGTTCAGGGGCCGGCTCGGCGGAGTCCGCGCGGGGACCGGAGCGCGGTCCTGATGTCCCGGTTTCGTGCTCACGCCAAGGCCCCCTCCGTCCTCGGCCCCCCAGCACACATGCCCAGGAGCCTATTTTCTCCGGTGTGAAATGGGGGTAGGAACAGTACCGCCTACGTTAGATTGGGATGAAGATCAAGCGGCGTGGTCAATACGAAAACTTTGTAAACTCTGCCGAGCAGCAGTGATGTTAGTGACCGAACTCTTCCAAGCTTGAATGCCGTCAGCGCTCAGTTTTGCTTGCTCTGCATCTGTCTAGACTTGAGCCGGACTCACGTACAGCAGCCCTTGGTAAATGTTTATTGAAAAAATGACTCACATTTAGTGCCTTGAGGACTCGCCCAAGGATCCTTTATCCTAGCTAGGGGATATAAACTGAATATGCTTGAGGGAATTGCTGTTAAATGAACTTGGGGAAAATGAGCCAGAAAAATGATTTGGTGTATGTTCTATACTTTTTATTGCAGATGACAGGATTAGACATCGAGAAGGACCAGATTATTGAGATGGCCTGCCTGATAACTGACTCTGATCTCAACATTTTGGCCGAAGTAGGTGATACCATGTATTACAATCTCGCTGTTGAGTGTATTGTATTGTAACCCTGGGTCCTGAGGTCCATATACATAGTAAGGTTTCAAGTCATCTCTCCGTCGTAGTAGAGTTGGGTCTAGAACCAAAGCAGTCCATCTCACAGCCTCGTGTTTTTCAATAGGCCGTGCTCCAAGTGACAGAAACATAAATGCTGTCATTTACCAACACTTACTGTGTACCAGGCACAGTTCTAAGTGATTGACATGCATACAGCCTAGTCCTCGCAACAGCTCCAAGATAGGTCTGCTGTACTAGTTTATAGAGGACATTTTGGCATAGCTGTTGTCTACTTTGCCCAAGGCCACCTGGCTGGCCCCTGGGGGGAGCCAAGAGTTGAAGGCAGGCAGCCTGGTAAGACAACCCGTTGTTATCCCATCAGGATCGGTGATTGAGGCCGCAGCCTGAATCTTTTGTCATAATCTTAACTTGACTTAATACACAGCATTTCTAGGCTCTGCCTTCTTAATAAGGATGTGTGATTCTTCTAGGTCTGTGTTAAAAGATTTTAGAATTGATGTTAATGTAGGAGCATAAAATGTTCTCTGATTGACATGGGGCATGATGAAGGCTTCAACATGTTGTTTTTAACTGAAACAGTAAGCAAAACAAAACACATCTGTCGCCTTTGGGCCAGGCAGGAAGCATTCAGAAAGTGTGTGGCAGCATCTGATGGCCAGAGTGATATCCCCGGCCTTGAATGACGGTTTCATATTGTCAGCAGGAGTCAGAGGTAGGGAGAAACTGTGAAATGGGAACACAGTAGGTGTCTTGTTAATACGTTTCCAGAAGGTAGGATTGATATGTTTCTGGTTACATGGTAAATTTCATGATTCCACAGTTCAAGACTTCCACTTACTTTCTGGGCAGGTGTAGGAAGGGCGAAGGCAGCGTTTACAGATGAATTGCTATTTTTGTAGAGAACCAGGCCTCTGTGTTTTGGAGTACCTCGGGGTAGGAGGGCGGGTGGAGGGTGGGTATCAGCTGGAGGAGAACCATGGGACTGTATTTTTCATTGTAACAACTAGGTCTTTTTTTTTTAACTTTATATAAATGAAGCCCCGAGTTTTAGGTTTTGTTTTTTCCTGTCACTTGGAACTTACTGGAGATGAACAGTGAAGAGAAGTGTTTTTATTTCGTCAGCCCTGCTTGCCGTTGGCCAAGGAAGAGTTTTTCCGTTGGGCTGTTGATACACTGTCAGTTTGATGGACCATTACTTAATATGCACCCTGGGGGGAATTTGGGTCTGTATTCCCACCGCTGCTCATGAGTGTGGCACTGGTAAATAGACTCAGATGAGGAGAAGGATGTTAAAAAAAAGATGTTAGGCCCTGTTGGCACTTAAGTGTCAGTCTGTGGAAAATGTTTTATTCTTGTACACGAGTCTGAAGAACACGTCTTATGCTGGTGGGAGAGCAAACATCCTACCTTGGAAGTTTTCCTGTTGATGGCTTAGTGTACTGACCTGGGATCTAAGTCAGTTACGTAGTCTTAGAATTATGGTTTCTGTGTTTTCCATCATGGTAAAATCATTTTTTACAATATGAGGTTTTTGGCTTTTAAAAAAACATGTTATCATACCAGATTTTTTGCTTTGTGGAGATTGCCATAACCAGTTTTCTTGTTTGGCTAAAAGTTCTTGTTAGCTGTAGGGTGTCAGGCATATTTTAGTCACATTCCAGCCATTTCTCTCAGTGACTGCACGCTGTAAACACCTTCACAGTTATAATACCTTGAATTTATAGAGTGCTTTTCCAGAGAGTTAAAGAACTTTCATATCTGTGATTTATTTTATTCCTGTGAACCCCTGTGAGGGAAGGGGAGCAGTTTATTACTGCCATCATACAGAAGGAGGTCAGCCCAAGGTGATTTGCATTAATGCCAGGAATTGGGCTTCCGTTCCTGCTGGGAATCTCATGAGAGAGCGAGACACTCACAGTTGAATGTTTTGTTAAACGGTGGAGCTGAGAATTCGAGGGCCACTATTTTTTTGAGACATCAATTACCTTTTTAATTTTTTAATATAAAAATACTGTGAAAATTAAGTGGTATAACTTTATCCAAAATATATGTATAGTAAGCTGTTAGTTTTTCACCCTGTTGTCATCCTGCCTCATCCTCCCCGAAGTTTCTGTATTTTCTTGGTATTTTATATGCATATATAAATGTGTGTGTGTGTGCTTAAACAAGTGTAAATGAAGTCATATGCACATACATGCTGTTCTGCAATTTGTTTTATTCACCTGGCAGTACAGACACTTTCCAAGATGAACTCATAATCAGGGGTTGCCAAGTTTTTCCTAAAGACCAGATATTAAATATTTCAGGCTTAAGGGTGCTGCATGCCTGTCACGTTTGTCTAACAGCCCTACACATGTAAAGATCATTCCTTGCTTGCTGGCAATTTGAAAAAAAAAAAAAAAAAGGCCATTGTCTGGGGCTGTAGTTTGCTGACCCTTGATAGGTATCTGTGTCCTCTATCAAAAGGCACTGAAGTGTTCACTTGTGTATGTGTCTGTGTGTTCATTCTTCTTTGTTTTTGACATAAACAGCGCTGGCACGCATGGGGCCCAGTTTCAGAGTTAGCACAGTGCCCTTGTTACTTACTGTCTCTGGTATACGTATTTCATCCTCAAAGCAG